GACTTGGCTCTGCTATATTCATGTTGGTTGATCAAATCGATTTCGCCGGCGCTTGCATAAAACTCGGTCGAACATTGAAGATAAGGTGAGTAGTGCTTTGAATTGAACATCATCAAGGAACTTAGACACACCGCCCAGACTGAAACGGCAGCCGTTTGCAGAGGTATAGATGGATAAAAGGGTGGATCCAAATATGTACCTTGTGATTGCTCACCTTAGCCGGCGGTTACGATATCTCACTTGAATACACCAAGCAACCTGGCTTTTGCTGCATTCGACGCAGGTCAAAGTGTAGCGAATGAGGTCATGTCAACGATTAATCGATATCCCTAGTTCTGTGTTCTAAGCAGTCACTTTCGGAATAAATTGTGTCCCAGTACGCTGTTTTAATGGACTAAAATAATGCATCATAGACCTTCCGCATATTTTAAGTCTGAAGCACAAGGGTTTAGTTGTAATTTAACCCACATTTTGATTAGATTGCCGCAATTAGGTCAAATTTTAAATAAGGAAACGTGACTTGGAATAGCACTTTGAATTGAAAAGACACAATTGTTGATCGTAAAATTAGATGCGGTCCTTGTTTGAGACGGCTTTTAAGGTTTTTATGACCGTCGCCATCTAACATTTAAGTTATGTCATATTTGGTAGCATCAGTCAGCTGCGAGATCACACGATGATCTGATTAGCGATACGCGCTCAGATTTCAGTGTCACGCGGTCAAACCGGACGCACTTGCACATGCGCAGCAGTCAGCAGACTGTGTTTGTTGCTTGGGGCTGACCTTCGCCTGCAACCAAATTGCGAATCATTTTAAGGTCATGAGACAACACGCGACATTCACTGAGATTGCGATGCATAGGATTGTAATCATGACGGTGAACGGTTGTGATGCAAAAGGCTCAGGACATTTCGACATGAGCTGATAGCACATGAGAGGAGCAATGTGTTGGTGATCCAGGATTCCCCAACGTGGCTCATAGTCATTGTTTACACTAATCCCCCTAACCACACCATGTAAACAGGTGAGTCACCCACGGCAACACACTGACAACCCCACCTTTTACTCTCCTTTCATCCATCAGATCAAGGCCTCTCTTGATTTACATAAGCTGGCACATTTTGATAGATCACTCGGTCCTTGGCTGAGACGAATAATGGTCTCCATACGAAGTGTTTTCTTGAATTAGCGTGGGAAGTTCGCTACCAGCGTTGGACAAGGTATCTTGGTACCGGTAATCTGAGTTGGTGTTTGTCTTGGTTACTGGCGAACGTAACAAAATCACAAGAGGCAGCTCCATGTGTTACGTGTGATTAATTTAATGTGAAAATTTTAATAAATCCATGGCCAAATAGGTGTTCTGGATGACCGCCAGTTTTAAGGGAACAATTAAAGATGGAAATCACTCGAAACAGTCAAGATAGACGATTCTGGACAATGGCCTCTATCTACGGCTTCAATAAAAATATGCGTAAGGTTACGAAGTAAGTGTCTTGTTACGTATCATTCGATATCGTAATGTGACCCATATTGACTAAATCCAATCGAATGCCTCCTTCCAAGATCTACTGTGGTCGCCAACCCACAGTTCAGTTTATCCATCATTCGGAAACATCAGCAGACGTGGTTAGACTTGCCAACGTGATGAGTTGGATTTTTTATCACGAGCTATAATCAACCCTAAATGGATCATTAAACATAGTCCCAGATGGCTGAAACAGCTTATAGCATATATTACACGCACATTAATGCTTTTTAATGCCCCTCTGCTGTTTAATGCCCCTTCAAATGAGCTTGGAATTTTACTCAGCATCTTTGGTTTGAGCTGGAGCCAACAGTTCACACGTCTGGTGAGCGAAATGAGCGATATCAGCGTCTCTCGTGTCAGACATTACTTCGTTGGTACAATGCAAAACGCGCCTTCAGTTACTGTGGAAATGGCCTTGTTCCATCTGCAGCTGCAAATTTGGGAATGGATGCACAGTTGTTCAAAATGCAATTATATATTAAAATATGGAAAATTACCTTAACCGTCGCATTAAGTGAAACCTGTTTTAAGCGAGATTGTATGTGGTTACTTGGATACGGAAAGACATCAGGAGACTGGACAGCACACCGACGACACGGAAAGAGTGGTACCATGGTGAAAGAGGGGACGGCTGGAAGGTATCATGCTGGTGGGGAATGTGCGAGGGGGTCTTGCATTAACATTGTGTGAGATGTGTTTCTGGCGAGGGAGAGAGAGATAGCAAGTAGTAGGTGGGATTCAGGTCGACAACAGGAGATTGGAGCGCACAGTGATGGCATGGTAAGAGTGACACTACGCAGTGTTTTGGCAGTGTGGGCAAAAGGACTAGAAACTGGGCAAAAAAGGTACTTGTGCAAATTGTTGGAGTCGAATTTACTTCGGTCGACTCGGCGCATGCCTTTCAGCCAGCCGAATTTTCTCCTTTATTGCCTTCTCTCCTTCTTGTCATTAGCGGCGAATAGCTCAAGAAGGTAACACAACATCGATTACATCGGTTAACCATAATCTCCCCTTCATTTTCCATCGATTTTCACCAAATTCGCCGTTTGTTTTGGAGATTTCTCTCAATAAATTTGCTAGCGATGCATCTGGGTGCATTATGGATCTACAGTATATAGCTCAGTCGTGCAAATTAAGCATTATTTTACGACTTTCTGCCTCTACCTTTGCTCTATCAACCAATTCGAAATGCTCTTTGTTGTATTTTGCAAATTCACTGTGGTACCGTAGCGTTGAATCTACAAATATTGGACTTTTACTTTAGCTTCGTTATAAATACGGAATGGCACGCCGAACTCGCAAAGAAACAAGGCGATTCGGAATATTTGAAAGCCTCTACGTTGCATCCACTCTGTACACCCTAACCGGCATTTAGCATAATTACCGCACTTTTCATGAACACATTGTAAACAGCAGGCAGTATGAAAAACAGCAGATAAATACACATGTAATAGAGAAAAAAACGTTTTTACCAGTCATAAGAACGCGTTTTCACCAACTTTGGTTCCTAACATCGGGGCGATATCGGACGAATGAGTTTGGAAGAGTGGTCACACGAGAAAATGATCTTGGTATATCAACAGTGTAAAGGTAGTGCATGTCTCGTCTTCCATAACGATCAAGTGATATGTTCTTTATATTAGTAGAGCTAAAATGTTGGCATTTGGAGTAGTCTGGTAGTCCAGGACCCGTGCTTGTAATAAACATGTCAGATTCCTCCACGAGAGCTAGTAGCAGCCACTTGTCTACTGTTAAAATTCCTCCGGCATCAATTACGAATTGATGCAACCTCAGAGGGCTGCCTCGCATTAGCAGATCCTAGAGCAGCCTTAAGAAAGCAGGTCGCCTGTTGAGTGGAATTCTCGGTTTATCGTCTCCTTCTACGCTTCATCTGGTCCGTCGAGTCACTGTCGTGGGGAAGAAGCCAAATACGTGTCGAAATTATGCAAACCCGTCCTTGTGAATTCTGTACAAAGTCGCATGGCACTCGTTGCATGACGATGTATGTGAGGTTCCCTAGTAAACCTACAGGCGTGTTCTTGCATTTCCCAGCCGTTATCGACGACTTCCTACATCAGGTCGTTTAACCCTCATTCGCACAGCAATCAGCGTCTGCGCTAACATATTATGCGGATTTGGAAAACATCGAAAGCTGCAACTGCCCATTGGGACTGTATCCAGGTGAATTCACTGAATATGTACTCATTAATTGCCGGACTTATTTTGGTGTTCTTCGCTGCTCAGAGACACCAATTGAATCAAATAATCTTGGATGTTAGTTTGGCTTGCTGTCCTGCGGTTTTTCACAAAGAAGTTAATTTTTTCATAATTAGCCTGTTTTGTTGGCCTGAATAAATGGTAGTCGGATTGGGCCAAGTCTGGTGAATATACCGCGTGTGGGAGAAATTTCCGTTCCAATTCCAAATGTACTTCCGAGTCGCACGAAAAACGTGAGGTCGAGCTTCGTCATGCAGCAGCAGTATGATTTGCCTGCCTTCTTGCCCTTTTCTGACCGAATTTTTCGCTCAATTTGTTCAATTATCGGCTGCAGCCTTCCGCAATCATCATCTGACCAATCTTGAGCAGTTTGTAATGAAGTGCGCTTTTTTGAACCACCAGATACAAAGAAGAACCTTCTTCACGTGGATGTCCTATTTCGACGCCAATGTACCGGGTTGGCTGATATCCACCCGAAACATTTTGTTATCGCCCGTTATAATGTTCTACAAAAAAGTTCCTTGTGCTACCTTCGGGCAAGCAGTAAAAGGCGTGCGTTCACAAGTTGACCTAAGTTGTATTTGGTCAACACATGTGGAGGGACCCAACTTCCGAGTTTTTGAATTTTCCCATTGGGTACAAATGCCTGGAAAAAACTGTTTGGATGACTCCTAAACGAGCTTTAAGCTCTTGTTGCTTTCGCTATATGGCTTTTTCTTCAAATTCTTGAGGCTGTCCGGGGCACGGCTAGTAACTAAGATCGAAATCACCACTTCTAAGACATTTGTACTAATAATTACACGCTTCATAAGACACAGCGTCGGAACAAAGGACGCTCTCAATTGACTCCCGTGCTTTAGAAGTATTTTTCCCTTGCTGGAATCCGAAAAAAGTGTAGTGCCATCAAATGTGCTGATTATCAGTTGCCAATGTAAACTATACTACTTTATCAGGTTGTGTGGCCCAAGCAAACTTGTCGTTCGGTGTTCCGAAACCTGATGTCCAATCAGTTCAAGACCACAAAAACCGCTAAAATATTTTCGACCACAAAGATAAAATCTGCACAAGCTAAGTCACACATCTAATATTAGCGGAGTGGCGTACGTTGTGTTGGTGCACGCCTACCAAAGATGGCCAAAGAGTGCTGCAACGAAGACACTGCGAACGCTATCTCAAAAATTCGGTTAACTTAAAAGTCCGGAATCCGTTGTGTACGACAGTGGCTCCCAAACTGCGCCAGTTCAGTGAGTCACATTAGCTGAACTCGTCGTCGATATCGAAGGGATTTTTTGTAGTCAACAATGGGCACAACTCCATTTGGACCCAAAAGGCAACACTGATTCTACAGTGGAAAGAAACGATGGACATATCTGCAGTTTTCGAAACTTTTTCCTGTATAATTGATATTCCGACGGTGTTCATAAAACCCCCTCTACCAGTCCACTTCGTTTAGTTACACGAATTCTAAGGCATCGAAATTATGAGAAACCAGAGAAGTCAAGACGATCCCTTGAAGTCGACAGCCTCCCCTTCAAGCCATGCACTGAAGATGCATGTTTTGCAACATCGTTATTTAATGCACTCCGAGGTACAGAAGAGTTTGCGTATTCCGCTTCTTTCATATGTTACGTTTCGCCCGAAACCAGGAACACGCACTTAGACAGCCGGTACTCAAGATCCCTCGAGTTACACTAGACCTGACCCACTCACGATAATTCAAGACCAGACAAGACTCCGTGCTGAGAGCTTTTAATGACTCAGTCAGAGGCTGAGTGATTTGTCTGAATGTGCCCCCTGACCCATGGATCAAGGCGGATTAACAAAGATGAAGCTGGCAGTAGGGTGTCGTGGGTGACACCCTCTGTAGTGGCGTGGTTAGGGGAACGGTGTGAACCGTGACACCATCCTAACCCGCAATGAGCCGTCTTGGGAAACCCCAGATCCCCATCACATTACCAAAATTTGAGTCTCCTGGTTCCCTAGTTTGACATATCAAGTTGTTTGGATGAATCATGGTAGATACAAAATAAAAACAGTACCCAGTAATTTTAAATTTAGCTTACATTCACCTTCAGTTGCGTGGATAATGTTGAAATCCCTATATTGGTATTTTAGCCGATGGCGAAATCAAAGTAGTCTCTCGGATTGACCAAAGTGACCAGTAGGTCCACCATTGCTCACTTCGTTCTTGCGATGTAGGCCCTTGGAATGGAGTCTGAATTTGTTGCTTCGAATTCCCTATCATCCCAGTGAACTTCCTCGTTAACAGAAATCGCAAAGATGCTCTCGAGCGTGTCTCTGTCGTTTGGGGTCAGTTGATTTGAGGTCAGGGAAAAAGGGGTCTTGAACACTATCTGAGCTATGATAAACCATCAGTGTATCACGTGAGTAGGTCGTTAGGTGCTTGGTTGTGCCCAACGCTATACAATAGATGAAATCTTGCTGTGTTCAGGTAGGCGTTTTGTTTGTTTTTTTTAGCAAAAACAAAACATTTTGATCGCATTTGATTACTAAACTCAAATGACGAGGACGTGCATTTGCCAAAGCATCGACTGAGGGAAACACACTGAACGAAACTTCCCAACAAAACAATGCAATTTCACGTCTCCCAAATCCCAAATACCATTTTTGAATATAACTGACTTATTCCTTGATTTTAGATCGCTCTCAGGGTGGCAAATCAGTTGGTAAGATCCGCATACGTGCTATCCATCGGACCAGGAAGTTGCAACGTGGTGGGGTCCTAATTTGAAATTCAGTCATGGCACGAAAGAGGGACCCCTAATGCTATGACCAGTGAACCTCTTAATAGTAAATTTCTACAAAAAAATCTCTCTCATTTCTCGGGTCTTATGATCTACTAGGGCACAACTAGAGTGGTCTTGTGGCGAGCAGCACGCGAATGCGGTTAGCAATCGGGAGCGAACATGATTCATTTCATTTACGGAAATGAACTTCACCTAACTATGTACGTTCAGCGATCGATGTTTATCAAGGCTATATAAACGCGTACTTGTTATCTTGTACAAAACACACGGCTGCATCAATAAATTAATTGAGCTACGAGCCATTCGCATTTCCTGCTCTTTCGGTCGGGCCTTGTCAATGTAGATTGCCGGCCCTGGTGTGGTTTCCAAAACCGCACCGGGGCCCACTACAGTCTTTTGGAATTCATTCACAACACGTCACAGATGGCAAGTGGTCGATGGAGCAAATCGAGAAATTTGCTCGACAATAGTCTCACTTGTTATACAATTACTAGCATTAATAAGTACATGATTACTTCGAAACAGACGGACGACACTAAGCCTCGAGCTCCTCCTATGCGGCAGGTGGAATCGTGGTCTAGCAGGTGTACACAGATCTCAAGCGCAGTCGATCAGGCCTAGTGTGTGTAATTTACCCAAAAGCACCAGGAATCTCCTCACTCGAGATTGAAATACCACTGGGCTCCTTAAAATTTGCCGATGAAGGGGCAACCATGAGGGTTAAAATTGGAGATGGGAACCATCTGAAATGTTACAAGATAGACAGTCTAGAACAATAATTAATGTTTATGACCTCCAATAGTGGGTTCAATGAAATGGGCATACTTTTAGGGAATAAGTGCCTTGTTAAGAATCCCTCGATGCCATTGTATGTGCCCTAGATGGGCTTGCTCCTACAAGAAACTTCCCTGATTTACTGTGGCCTATAACCTGCAACCTACAACTACTCCAAGATAATTTCATTTGTAAACACTGGCTTGCCAGCGGGTTAATAAGCTTTCATTAATGCTACGCTTTAAGAAAAAAACAGCGAAATGCCATATTTTGATTCGATCGTGAAAATTAGAACCAGTAGTTTATGATTTCTCAGTGGATCATTGCCTTCTCAACGGACTTGATGCACACAGGGCAGATTGTTTGGTGTCTATACAAAAATATTGTGCAGATTATTCATAAAATCTTGTTAGACACCACCTCGTTGATGTTATGTACAACACTTTTACTTGTCGTGGAAATATCCATGTAGCATTTCAAGTTGATGGATACACAGATTTGCAAGGTTTAGTGGTATGTTAAAATGCGGGTAATTACCTGAAGCGCACGAAAAAGAGGATGGATGGGATGTTGGACGGTGTTGGCGAATGCACAGTGTGGTGTTATTATTGCATAAAATAAACTGGGTTTCGGGCGACAGCGGGTAAGATGAGGAAAGTAATCAGAAGACAGGATTGTACACCGACAACATTGCAGAAGTAAGACTACTCAGAACTTGCATTGTTTAAAGAGAAAGACTAATAATTACGAGCAAATAGAACTAGCATCACAAGGTGAATTTTGATGTGTGTCAGTTGATTCCACGCCTACACTTCCGCTAGCTGATTCACCGTTTTTGTTCTCCACTTCTTCCTCGTCATTAGCAGCGAAAAGCTCATGAAAGTACCACGGCATTTCTTTCATGTCGTCGCCTTGGTTGTTCATATAGATCTCCTGGTTACGCATTGTCACCTCTCGAATTCGCTTCAAGATATCAGTGACTCTCGCCCACAAAATTGTCATCGTCGGTTCCAGGTTCTGTGTAGCTCTGCGACGATTGGCGTAGTCGTTAAATGCTTCCATTAGGACACACTGAAGATTCCTCACGACTGCACTGTTAACTAAACCGGGACGGTCTTAAAATACGAAAGCAAAAGATAGACGTTTTCCTATCAGATCAAAATTAAATTCAGGTTTTGTAATCCAAGGTCGTTTACCAGGAGTCATGAGAAGCACCGCTGCCAAAATGGAGACCTCTGTGTAGTCGACTTTGAGTTGGCAAAATCGAAAAGCTATCGATCGAACAAGCGAAGGACACTCTTCAGAGGAGTTACCAATTCCGAGATAAGCTTTGCTCTGTATCGCAGAATCTTCCTTTTGCATTGATTCCCAATTCCCACTTTTCTTCAGTACTCTGGAGAGCGTGTGAGCAGCTCGCAAGGTCAGAATGTCCATTACGCAACTTTCCAGAAGTCGTATCTGGTCCTGGGCAAGGAGCTAATGGCAAACATTATCATGCTTTTAATCACATTGAAGTAGTTTTTTGACTAATTTAAGAATATTTAGGCATTATCTTACGCAAGTATATCCTGGGATGTGTTTGGCAAATTCCAAAAGACGGAAAATCAATGGAGTCAGTGCGTGTTCCAACTGTGAGTCTGTTGTCAACTTGAAACTATTCTTCACATCCTCATGAGACTGGTCTTTTGCCTAAAGAGGAGAAGCACAATTTAAGGGGCAACAACAAAGCAACAAAAGTCGCATCAATGAAAAAGGCAACTCGTCACGTCGACAAGCTGTGATTGTGTAACCACAGTAACTGGTTGGTGTAAATAAGACGCTTGCCTTGGAGGATTCATCGGAGCTGCTCAGCCGGTTTGGCACATTGACAAAACGGTAAGCTTCTGAAATCTCTCTTGCTATGCTAACGCGATCGAAATTAACGGTGGTTCCAATGTTAAGAAAGGTTCCTGGAGCAGACTGCGGTTCCCTCGATTCAGTGCTATCGCCGACTTCCTCACGGTTGGAGATAGTGATGGAATTCCGCGCTGGCACCTGGCTCTCCGACACTGGAACCACCTGCGACGAAGAAGGTGTCGGTAGTTGCTGAGGTACCTGAGAATTCTGCCCCAGGGAGAAAAAATTTGGCTGGTGGTAGGTCTGCGGTTGGACTGTCCCTTCAACGCCCCAATAGGCATAGGGTGGATGTGGTGATGGATGTGGATGTGATGGTGCAACGACAGGGCTCACAATGACCGCAGTGTCAGTGTTGGTGGATGGGTGAGCGGAGTAGGAGTGAGGTGCTGATGCTGCTGCTGCTGCCGCCGCCGCGACTGCTTGTGCTGCAACTGTTGCTGCAACCCGCTGTGGAGTTGACTGCTGTGATGCTTGTTGAGGTACTGAGCGAGAGTAGTTTGAAGTCGCAGACGCCGTTGCGATCCTAGATGTGCTTGTTCCTCCTGCAGTTGCAGCAGCCGCAGCGGCTGCAGCCTCTGCCTGCTTCCTTGCTCGATTCGCCTCGATTAGTCGTCTCTTAGCTAGTCGTTTTTCCTCATCCAATACCACTGAAATGTTGTTCACAAGTGTTTAGTATCTTAAGCGTATGTTTTCGCTGGCACCGGCATTTGCTACATTTTAGAAATCAGGAACGCATCAACCCTTTCATACAGCACAAGCCACCTGTAGTAATTCTTGGTATCCCTCACTAAACAAGAAAAGGTGCAAGTACAAGATAGGAGCATGTTGAGAAGGCAGATTGTAAATGGATTCAATGAACTGTTATGGAGTAAGCAAATCAGAACTAATATGATCAGCCTCGTTTACATGAGACAGACGACCACATTTAAGGAAATGTATCAAAATTACCTATACGATCATCTCCCAGTAATTGCTCATTCAACCCACCTTCCTCAAGCTATGCATGAAGAGATCCCCTTGCATCAGAAGCTTGATTATATTGACTAAAATTGTTCTTAAGACCTCAGATTCTCCTACCCACCAATCGGATTTGCGCAAGTTGGAATGAAAACTGAAAGAGATAAACGGACGAGTAACTTACAGTCCATTGCCATGCCACCTTTGAGGCATCGTTCAAATCGGCATTTCTGACAACTATTCCGATTCTGCTTATCGCCGACGGAACACTGGCCATTGAATTTGCACGTGTACTCCAGCTTCTTCTGCACTGATCTACGAAAGAAGCCCTTGCATCCCTCGCATGTCATGGCACGATAGTGGAAGCCCGTGGCGTTGTCTCCGCAGACGACACATGGTTCAGGTCCGTTGGAGGGGTCCATGTAACTCGGAATGTATGGTTCTTCTGTGTGAAAGGAGCAGAAACCGCTAACGGGTTGTGTGAACCCAGCGCCATGGAATGGCAATTTGCTATGCTCAAGGCACAGTTTGCCACAGTCTACTTGATATCCCTGGATTCCTATTACAGATGGGATTATTTCGCCATGAACCACAACATATCGACTTCACTGATGGCTAGAACCCAAGACCGTGGATTTGGTGTCAAGTTTCAAACCATGTCCAATGCAACCACATTTGAAACCACATATCAAATCATGGTTGGATCAAACATAGTCAAAGATTGCGCGATTGACCCAACGAAAACGTGGTTAATTTCCCTCAACCATTTCCGTGACCTAGATGACTTTCCCCGACTGGGTATTTGGTGGTTTTTTGCGTGAATTTAATTGATCCCCACCATCAAGCATGCGCACACCCAGTCGACGTCTTGCCTATTGCAAATTTGTGCACATTCGTTCCCATTGATGCAGCCGTTTTTGAGCATTCGATCTTCGACCACTCCACGCAACCCGACAACCATGAATTCTGATGTGCAAATTAATTCAGTTGCTCAAGCTGTAGCTGTTTCTTCTGGCGGCTTTTAATGTAGGACCTGTGGTTAATGAAATGACCTTGGCTGGAACACTGGGCTAGTAAATGGAAACAATTGCGGAGGGCCATTTCGTAAGACTCTGAGAGAAGGCGAGAGCTGAAGAAATGTCGTGGAATCGGCTGTGGATTGTGGCGAGGCATCAAACAGCCACCGAGGTCTGAACGAACGACACCGACAGTCAGCTGGCCGCAGCACATGCCATATTGCTCATGTGTGTGAGGCAGCTTTTTGTATTTCAAGTCCCGTTCCTGGCACTCATGGTTTCCTCAGAGAAAAACGGTAGCTGGCTTTTTAATCACGACGCCGAAGGCTAGAGCAACTAGCTTTTATTGCCCATTCTCTGTGTTGTTACCAAGTCCTCGAAATCTGCGTAAATCACAGGTCATGCGTGGGCTATTAAACGTTTCTGGAAGCGCACGCGCGCGCGCGCGTTCGTGTCACAGGGCAGGCTGAGGTGAATCACCATCGGTCTACTTAGGTCAGAGGTCTTCGTCGGTGCTGGATGCGGGTTAGTTCGTGCGTGTGCACTAAATTTAGCCTAGCTATTAAATAACTCACCCTTGGAATCAGTAGGGACGCGTGGCTAGACTTTGTAGTGCAAATACGCTGCTAAGGGCGCATCAATGAGGCACGAGAAAAATAAACAAGCATGGGTGTAATGGACGGTTTGGTGAAACTAGGAAGGATGAAAGCTGGTTCAAGTCGACTACCGTGGGCTTGATCTGCCCAGGGCTCAGTCGATGCCTTATTTACTTCAAGAGATGCCTAGCACAAACCCATTACAGCTTCACGGGTTTTTGATTAAGTGGGGTTTAAATTAAATGAACTGGTAACCTCACTAGGGATCTGCCTGGCAGAAAACATCGAATAAATACTGTACCCTCAGAAATCTCGCGAAAGATTTATGCTGTCTAGAGAAACGAACAAATGAAGTTACTGGTAGCATTTGAATGCAGGCGAGGTCGAAGAGAAAGAGGCCCATAATATTGCCGACTGAATACCTTTAGAGCAACTCCATCAGACCCAACTGGCTCGGTTAAGGGGTTTATAGTATCAGGTGTAACTGATCCTTCATCTCTGACCAGTGTGTCTGCGGCTGCAACAGTGCACTCACTCATTACTACACGAAACTGACTCTACACAAGCCGCTCACGAACTTATCCGACTGACCTGACCTCGTGGGTCTGCAAGCAACAACGAAATTATCCATGTACTAGTGCCAACGGCAGATAAGATGGGAATGAGTTCACGAGAACTTGCTTTGTCTGCAAGATTGATTTTTTGCTCGATTCGTTAAATCTAAAAAACGGTTATTTCGAATGTGCCTGAAGCACTGTGAGGAGAGTGCGTAGGCGTGGGCCCCAGTGGATGCGTGTTTACTTGATATATACGCTTTTTTATGGAACGACCGCACTTGAATGCCTAAAGCTACACAGAGCTTGAGCATTGAGCAGAAGAAAGACTATCCGAAGTCAACTGCCAAGTGTTTTAAAATTAACTGTGGAGTACCACCCCACTAACTCTATCTTCCGTGTCCGATTACTGATGTGCCCGTATAGCAAGAACGTGTGTTTTATCTAATGGGAAAAATGTCTCATCTATTTTAGTCCGAGTCCATGTTTGCAACCCCATAACACCGGCATAGCTCACAACGCAAAGCCAACCAAAATTAGGGTGCATTATCAAAGTATTAGCGAGAGTCTGAGGTACATGTAGAATCATACTAACACAAATAGCAAACTAATGTGTTCTCCTACTACAATACACCAATGGAATCTGCGGTGCCATTGTGTCGGCCAGTTGGAGACTACTTTCAACTTACTTTTACGCTGCCTTGTTGTGGTCGGCTCGGAGTTGGTCTCATTTGGACGCCGCTTTGACGGCGTGGACTTTGTTTGGGTCAAAACTGGCGTTCTACCTGATGCTTGTCCACAGAAAGCTTGCGAGCTCTGAGGTGGAACAATCATCGGCGCGAATACTCCTCCGTTCACCTCGTGAGATGGCTGGTAGAACGCGGTGGTTGCGTAGTGGCTATTCGCAGGTGAATGATTACCATTTCCCACGGGCCAACAGTTGAGGCCGAAGAAATTGGAAGTCGTGCTTCCGAAGAATTGAGCGCCGTAGAAGCCGGAAGTGGGAACGTACCGATGCGCGCTGTGTGTTGGTTGTGTAGATGATGCTGAATGAATAGAGGAATTATCGGGGTCCGGCTTTCCAAGCATACTTTGGAAGAGAATAACATGCAACTACGTCCGCTTTGACATGCGGAATCTGTACTAATGAAACATCAAATTGATTCTGGCGGTAGTCGTGTGTTTGTACGAGCGCACGATCGCTTGCGTGCGCACCTTTGATTGGCCGAATGGATGAGCGCGATGAAGGTTATTGGTTGAGCGTAGCGCGCATTCGGCTTGAATTGGTTCATGATTTCCATAAGGTCATGCGCTTGGTTTTTAACTGTCTAGTGTAATAAAGTGAACGAGGGTTTCATCAACTTGCCTCATATATACTCAGTCCAGCGACCGAAATTTTCTCCAAATGAAAATTCAAATCGGGAAAGCCACCACCTTCCTGTCGCATGAATTATCTAGCACACACTCGTTGTGATTGGAATTGAATTTCCGCCGACGTAGCGGTCTCAAAACTGTAGAGAGACGTACAGAAATGAGTTGAAGGGCTTTACCCGGAACAGGCTGGACTCTGCGACAATTTAATTGGTCTAGTGTCGAGTTGCGGAAGCCCACTTCAAGGTGACGGTCATTCATGGGTTGTAGAAATTGCCATGTGAAACCATTGGGGCAGTGAATGGAATGCCGAGTTTCATGTCGTGCCCTGGCCTATTGTGGTGCCGCTCACTCGATTGCCAGTGCTTGAAGCCAAACGCTTAAGACAACGTGCTTTCACGACTGCTAAGGCGTCGGTGCCCAAATCCATTCCAGTGTTGTAGTCGTTGAAGTATGGGAATTGTGTAGACTTACAAACTTATTGTGACTCAGGTGGTATGCGGAACGTTACTCCGATTGCCCGTTGGTATGGAATAAGTAGCTAGTTAACCTGTTGTTTTGGGTTCCCATTGTTTTCGTATATTCATATCCCTTCTTGTTTGCATAATAAAACTTATTTAGCAAAAAATCTTTTCCAAAGCGAGGTAGAAGTAGCAGTCTTTGGGCGAGGATGAATAAAATCAGAATACACAGATGTCACTGTTAATATCAGTACGACTGGTAAAATGTAATGATCGAACATGGATTGACATGGCGTTGCCTGTGATGAAACTTGGGTATCTTGCAACACCATCAATGGCCAATGATAGGAGTTGGGTTGGTTTAGGAAATCCGACGAATATATTTATTCGCATGTAGAGAAGCATCAGCGGAGGTAGTTAGTATTCGAAGTCGGTTGGAAAATAGCTAAGTGGTCCTGGACGGTCAGTCATAGCAAAAATCTGCAGTGCCTTGCTTTTCGCAATGTGGATGGATTTAAAAGGGCCGTAACGGACTTGTTTCCCTACAAGAAACTTCTAGCGTCTGGATCGAACAATGGGAAATTGGCGACCTCTGAGGCCCTGAATAAAATATCTGAGGGCAACTCAAATTCTGCGACCTTCAACACTGCATCAGCATACGATGACGTTGAGTTATAGGATCCATAAATGCCGCAGACCACAATTCGTGGCCTTCCGAGTAGTGTAGTCTAACTAGATAGGCTTGGGTCATTAGTGTTGCTATAGAGTCTCAAATCCACGAAAATGGTGCTCCACCAGTTTACCCCGTCAACGAAAGACGAAATCTGTGTGCAGCTGGAGGCCGTCCGATCCCCCATCCCGTGCCTGCCACAACACAGTGAGGAGATATCCGAAGACTGGCGACCGATTGGTGCATGTTAGGCAAACACTCCATCCATCACCTTGACAAGCTGTGTGTGGAGGGGTGGGGGGTGGACGTCATCGCTTGAACCCGAGGGGTCCACCTCTTGTCATCGCAGGTGCGCGTTCACGCGTGAGCAAGCACCGAGGTCAAGAGGACGTGTGTCCACTGCATGGGTGCTTAACGCGCGAATCAGTAAACACACCGCCCACTGCCCAACATGAAGCGCCACTTCCTACCCATCCGCACAATCAGCGATAGGCCTTCCTGTTGCACAAGAAAGGTGTGCGGAAAATACCTGAACCATGAGTTTTCTCTTTAACGTCCAATCGAGCGCGCTGAATAGACACCTCTCAGACGACCTTGCAGATGCTCGTCATGGTCAGTTGTCCAGGTGTTGTCATAATTACCTGTCCTTGGCGATCAGGTCACATTTGTCAAACAAATTCTTTTAGCAAACTGTGTAAGAATGAGACTAGCAACAAATGGGCACGACAGTCGGGAGAAAAAGCAGTTAGCAAGTGTGAGCGAACATGATTCAATGAATTTAATTGAATACACTTCACTTAACTATGTTCGTTCAGAGATCGATGTATAGCAAGGCAATATAAACTGACGGCTTGGTGCCCTGCACAATCACAATCAGCCCGTACTAAACTTTGATTCTTGGTGCTAGTGGGGTCCTAAAACCCCATGGGGGACCGCAACAGGAGCCAGTATTGGGTGAGTCTGTTAAACCATTTCATAACGGATAAGGCCTTAAATGCCCGGCCACAAGCAAATCATGTTGCTTGACTGGCGTCTATTTTTGAATGCTTCTGACAATCCACTCCTTCCCTAGCTATCTGAGAACTTCAAGGCGCGACTTGTTGTAACTAGTGACAACGTGATACAAGAGCCATGGTTTGTCTCCATGACTGCGGATTTTGTCGATGCATCCAAATAAAAACCAATCAAACTGTCAATTAGACCAATCACACCATGCGACACCTCAATATAATACTTTTCTTAAACGAGGAATGATTCATAATGTAAATCAAGGCATTGCCTGCACTACAGCCAAGTTTGATAGACGATTTGGTGTTTACTGGAATTCTGAAAGCCCAACTTCCCATTTAACAGTGTTGATTTTCCAAGGAAGAATAATTTGGGAGTCAGCCGGAAATGTTGACGATACCTCACAACAATCTTTATTCCCTTCATAAAGGGGAATTTGTTAGCAATAACTATTGGTGCAGTTTTCTTGTTCTGAATTGACAATGCTGGTAAAACGCGTCAGGAACATCTCTAGATGATGCATATTTTGGGTCTTGATAACAAATTCGTCATGGAAGACAGTATTGCCAGTGTCAGTCTTCGGCTTACATTGAATTCAGGGACAGCCATGGATAAAATTATCTCGTGGAGTTGCAATGATCAGCAGCAAAAGAAGAGATTGGTCAAACGTAGAGATAAGTACCTGGATTTTGTAGTTCGGCAACTACAAAATAAAATTTAAAAAAATTTCGAAATGAATTTTGAAAAGTGACAGAAGGGAACATTTCAGAGGGAAAATGTTAGGAGTGGAGGGCTATACTTCTCACCATGCAGGCAACGCTAACCAATAAATGCTGCTGCCAGATTTTGGATGGCCCATCAGGTAGAAAATGTAGTCAACTCGCCCAGACTGTCAAGTAAAATGGGGAGAATTTATGCGGATGCGATCGCACGCCTTTCCAGGCAGTGACCCTATCTAAATTTAATTCACCAAACAGCCACACCTATGCGTCATCCGTCGCAGGCTAAAGGGCATCGCGTGCGGTCGTGTCTGCGGTTTATCGATTTTGTTATAACCGTGTCCAGCGCAGGCACACACGTGAGCACTGCGCGCGCCCGAGTCAGCAGATCCTGCGTCTACGCAACACAGGGCGATCATTTAACTACTGCCTCCAGAACTCGAATAAGAAAGTGACATTAAGGGAACGTTAGCGACATATTCGCCGATTTCAGAAGCGTTCTATTGTGTGTGCAGTTGCGTGTGATTTTCACCATCAGATCTCAACAAGTTATCGTAACCCGTATTCTCAAATCGTCACGAACTTAATCGACAGTGAGGTCATGTTGAATGTATGATTAAAACGCATCACTGTCCATTACTTCAGGATATGTGAAGTGGGTAAAAGCAATCAGCTTGAGTTTGCATTAGTTGTAAGGAAAGTGCTGCCTCAACACGAGGTCGGGATGTGGAAGCATTCGGAAATTACCACAGTCACACGTAATAAGGATAATCCAAGCTACCCAACGAAGCAACTACAAGGGTTACACGAGATCAATACGTCCGACACCTGTTTATCCATCTAATCCGAGTTGTCGCAGAAAATAGCCGATGCTGAGGCGATTCATACAACCGGTCAGATTCTAACTCAAGTTCAGGCAGTGAATTTAGTTGGATACCTTTCAAATTGCGCCTATTGGATGACTAGGTGTCTGCGATTTCGTGACAAAATGCACTCTTATATCTGGCTTAAACGTTGTCAAGTCTTCCTGATATTGCACAAGATAACTAGACAGTGAAGTCCATTTGCAATTCGACTCTAAGCCCACTACAGGGTACGATCAGGCGGTGGAACACGAGGATTCATTTATCGTGCAGAATTTGACCACTTTGACCCTTTGGAGCTTCGGACTCGCATCAGTCAGCACCAAAAACACACGGAGGTCTAATTAGCTATACGCGCTCGGATTCCACTGGCGTGAGGTCAAACTTAGCGCACGTGCACACACGCACCATGCATCGCAGTCAGCAGACTGTGTTCGTTGCTTGGGGCTGAATACACATGCTAACACACCGGCCTACGCCTGAACATGGTTTACGGGTCGTTTTGAGGTCATGCGCCAACGCGAGGCATCCACCGCGATTGCGATCACGACGGAAAATAATCGCTGTGTTGCACTAGTCATTTTGACATGAGTTGACAGCGCATTAGAGGGGAAGGAGCAAGAGGCAACCCCCTCGTGTCATGTGTGGCTATTTCAAGTTGGCGACTTCGGCCAGTGAATTGAGAGTTCTGCACAAATTGCCATGATTGCGTCCGTGAAATACTACTAGCGGATATGCTAATCCTCAAATGTGTGTTCCTGATGACCGTCTACTGTGAGGTTTACAGTTGATGATGAAGATAACTCAACATTTTGCAAATTAGAAAGTACCAGATCCCGATTGAAGCTCGTGCCCTTCATTCATTGTAATGCAAACAAGGCTTGAAGGAATGTTTTTTTTAAGAATCACTCGATATCATAATGCTTGGCCTCTTTTTTCAAACTCCAACAGACAGTCTCCTCGCCAGATGCACAAAAGGCCTCCCAGAACACACCGGCGGCGACTTTGTTGAGATCTCGAATAAACGGTTGAGTCTCGCCCGCTCCGTGCCTCTTAATCTTCGCTAGAACCAAAGCTAGATCCAACGCAGAGGCCCCGGCGTATTTTTGAGAACCGCAACAATTTCAATTCATCTACCAACTTAAGTTGATTTACTTTGGTAACATCAAGAGGCGTTGATCGACTGACCAACGTGGTGATTTGGTTTACCTGTGATTCAAGGCTTAGCACAAACTTGAAGTAGACTTGACAGGCCACAACAACTTGCTTTCCAATGGCTCTACACTGTCTCATATGATATAAAACACACACAACATAGTTTCAACAAAAATCATATGGGCACCCCAGTCATTCGACAAAAAAATGGAGGAAAGGTAATGCTCACAAAGGAGTGTTGATTAGATCGGTAGCATTAGCAGGCGTGTATCGATCTGCCAAGGTTGTGAGCTGTTCTTCTACTGGTGCACAGTCCGATAATTTCACTACGTATGAATGTACGTTAATTATTTCTTAGACTATAGACACATGTAGTTTATTGAATGTTCATTTGTCTAATGTGATGATCCCCTCCAACTACACAATATTTGTGTGTAAATTTAGTCCCTACATGCACACACTCTGACCGCGACCTGACAAGCAAGAGGTCGATCGAACGAGCGCATAACAGGTCATGGCCAATGCATGATTCCGAATTCTAACCAGGAAAGGAATATCGAGGGCAACTGCAAGTTCTGGAGCAGATCTGGAATATGATGAAACTACTAGTCCGACAGCTAGAGTCTAACCGCTTCCTACGAGACAACAGCCGCACTGAACGTAGGTGAATTGAAGAGCGTGCTAGGTATTAATTTTCCAAAGATCTGGTAGCGGTTTGGGCGGTGTGCACACGCCGATGATTGCCACAGTGCCTGAGAAAACCGGTGGACGATGTTACCGGAACGCGCTACGCTCGTTATAACCCAATATAGGGATGCGAGAGGTTTTTAAGCCAACGCTTGATCGATCAGATGATACCTCACAAGCCAACACTGAAAACAACTCAACAAAGCTGACCACCCACCGATGGAAGGACGTCGAGTAATTGGAGGAGGAATGCTACTAGGACTTTTAAAAGCCCACTCACCTCCACAAGGTCAATTGGTTGATTTAAAAAAATGGGAAGGGTTAGTTGGACGTGACATGCGTCACGAGAATAGCGGGCACGCAGTGAATTGTCACTAGGGCCACAGAGGTGAAAACTTGTAAGAACCGGTTCAACACAGGTGCCTCATCAACACGCCCACACACACGCACACACCAACGCCCAACAGGTGAATGAACAGCTTTCACCACCTGATCTTGTCAGCAGGCTACATCGGGGTGTCAAATTAATCAATGTTGCATGCTAACGAGAAAAATAAGTCGCATGCTTGTGGTCTCACTCGAAATTAGGGAGCGGCAACAAGAAGCCAACCAATCAGCCGACTAGCTGCTGATGCGATCGTCTAAATAACGAGAGAAGGGTCAATCTTGTCTAGGACACTAAATTGGAAGCATGAATCAGATTTGTCTACAGCTCCGTATAAGTCATATATGGTCATGTTAAAAAACACTAGGACATCTAGTCCTGTTCTCAATAGCATTCTAAATAACGACCATAAACAATGGACTGTTAATACATTGATACAATTAGTAAAATGCACCCTCATGCCTGAACTTATATTGACACAAAAGTACACAAAGATGACGGAGAGGTATGCGAGTGTAACGCACGAATCCAAGCCGTAGCTAAGGTGTTACCGTGGAAACCGAACTATCTCAATAAGTTGCAAATCGGAAGACCCCTCTAGTCATGATAACGGTGGTTGTGATTTGAGTGTGCAACCTTCCCGACATTAAGCACTCTAGACCGAGTTGCTCCAGTGGAACTTGCTGTTTTTCAAAGCCGCGCAACTCAATTGGCAACACAGGCGAGAAAAGTACACAAAATGACTCTTTTACCATCGGAAATCAACTTTCCAAAGGTGAAAAACACTTCGACAAAAAAATAACGTGAGTTTCGAGTAGATAAAGCAGCGTTTAAATGCAAAACGCATAAAAATAATCCACGTTGCAAGGTGAAGAGGTTCAAGCAAGTGGTAAGCTCGGTGCGTGGAGATTTATGCAGACTCGTAGATATTTATTTACTCGCGAAAACTGCCGTTTTTTAAAAATACATTACAAACCAAATAAGGAATGGAAATGTTATATCGAAATAAATAAACACACAATCAAGTTAAGCATTGAGGCCGCGTTGGGTGGACTCATTCTTTCGTAGTGTTGTCACGTTTGAGGCTGACCTTGAACTCCAGTGGCCACGTGTCCTGATCCGTTGCCTAAAACGCAAAACTCATTGGCTCAGTCGACACAGTTTCCCAACCCGGGATAGCGCAGACACATTGGTACACGAGAGATTGAGGTGGGTGATCACCACACGTCCACAACTTATCGAATTGGGAATGAAACAGTTGAGCAATGCACTCAATCATTACGACACAAAGTGAGAAGAGGGTCAAGCCACGCCAACCTAGAACACCATGACCCGTGATGAATCACGCTGATTCAAGCTAATTAATCCGGTCGCTACAGTCTGCGACACACTACCCCCCGATTTCAGAGCGTTCCGCCAGCCATGGGGAGCCTCAACTCACACCCACTGTTCATGCACCTCCCCCGGGCCCCCAGGCCATTCAACCTGATTGGTCAACAGCCACATTAGTCATCCGTGACTGTGAACGCACGCACGCACGCAAGCACACGACCGCCCGACTTGGCTGAATTATCTAAATAAACGCTTGCGTCTCCGCCATCTCTGGCACCTGGGGAGAGCAATCGGGCGAAAACCAACGCAGCGGTCAAGGCGTGGAGGGAGCCAGACTGCCTACCTTTTGGCGGAATAACTGCGCCTTTTGCCAGGCGCAGGAGTCAACACTGGAATTCCCCTCGGTCGTCCAGAGTCGGGCCGAGAGACGGAGTTGCTTAGCGCCGGCGAAATCGGCACAGGCGGAGAGAGGAGGGGAGCCGGGCGGCACTTGTTTGCACACCCCGTCGTTACAAAGCTCGAACACAACCTTGGTTTGGTCGTCAAAGGTGGCCATTGTGGCGAACAATGTAACCTAGTAAGAAATGTCACTGTCTAATTAAGAACTTCCTATGCAGAAGGCAGAAGACGTATCTCATTAGGAACGGTAAATCAGAGTGGAAAATATAACACGCAAGAGTACATAATAGGCATCCAAAATTGCAGTGTTTGTGCTAAGAGCGTGTCCCTTTATTGGCCGACTGCCGATTTCCCTATCGAAAGTTAAGCAGGTAGCAAATGAGAAACAAAAATACACACCTCGTCGACAGAGTACTCAGTCCCCGACAAATCAATGAGCCATTCAATCACACCTTCTTCAGTGTTGCGTCCCTCCTCCCGCGCAAGGTAGACCATCTTCCAGTCGCGTTCGTGCTAGCCAATGAGAAAGGTTATATTAGACATGCTAGCCACTAGTATTCAGTAGGATTGTACTAACAGCGAAATTCGTGTGGAACGGTGAGCCACATAAAAGCCTCCATAGATTACCGATTAGTTCTTACTGATTTCATAAATTATCACGTGAAACATTGTCAAGTTGGCAGTTTCGAATAGACGCATCTCCAGCAGAGTTCTGGTATTCGACTACTTCATGGCATAATTACGACACAGGAGTACCTTTCTGGCGATGTTCTTCCATCGTGACGCCAACGAATCCCACCCCCTCTTGTAGGTCGAGCTTAGGTGACTTGGCTCCCGACTGTTACGGCGCGGTCCTGGCACCTCAGACGACGTCGCCTTAGCGCATTCGTGGTAGGGACGGGCGTAGGTGTCGCTGGCACAATTGTAACGCAGGTACACACAACCCTGTTCAAGTTCGCTGGGCGTTGGGGTGATCGCGGATCCAGTACTTGAGGATGAAAAAAAAGACAACGCATCTAGTGGAACGAAAACCGACCGCAAGATTGAGGTTTTCTACCTAAGCATCTGCAGTTTTCTCAAGATGAGCTGGCACGCAAACGCCGTAGATTAAAACAGGAGTGAAACTAACCCGTCCCATTGATCGGCGGGTTCAGAGGGCGCCCCAGCCTCAACTCCCAACTCGCCTCGCGCGGTTCTCCACGCCACGGAACCAGTTTGTCGACCCCTGAAAACTTCCGGATGCTTTTCGGGGTCTACTTTCTTTAGGGGACGCGTCATCAGTGCGAGCTCTTTAACCACAGCAGAAAGAGTAAAGGGCTCGTAGTCGATATCAGCGTGATGCCAGGCCAGAGCAGCTTGTTTGTGAGTTTGGGCAAGGTAATGCGCCAAAAGACTTTCCCGAATTTCAGTGCGTTTGCTGCAGACCTTTGCAACAGGCAAATAGAGGTTAATTAGACAACCAGGAAGAAGCACTCTGGGGAGCCTTTTATGGTCAGGATATTTAACATAAGTATCCGCATGGAATATCTTCCCGAGGTAGAATGAACCTTGCGTGCTGCATTCAATCGTCGTTTATAGCTTACCGCCACACGAAATGGGAAATAAGCAAACTCAAAGGATATGTTGACAATAAAAAAAAAGTATAGACATCATTTTGGAGTGTGTTGCTTCAGTGGGGTAATAAAAAGGTATTTCGCCAATAAGCACCTGGATTGTAATTAGGAAGAGATAAAAAGCATACGAGAAGAATGAAAGAAGGCAACCACACGAAAAGCAAAATAGTTTATTTTTTAATTTATAAAACGAAGACACCGAGGTCTCTGACTTTAAATTTGGCCGTGATGAAAACACAGAGAAAAAGCATCTTAACCGAAATCTGCATTCTCGAGACTTAACAGAGTTTACGAACTCCAGGCGTGGTTTCAGCCGACAAAGACACGACAACGTACGATTTACATACCGCCATAAAATCAGCTGTGTACTTCCATACGATATCACAAACGTCGACGGTTTCGTGTGGAGGAGTGGCCGACATCCATGGCAGTGGGACGGTCAGAGCAAAGATGTAGGAGAGCGACTTCTTCCATCCGAGTTCGTAGACCATAGGAGCGTCGACCAGACCTTCACAAGGATCCACGTGAACCCAACGCCCATCGGTTGAGTTTGCATCAAGGTCGTTCAACCACCTGAAGGCATTTGCACAACAAAGTGGAAAAAAATGTGGAAGGAACGGTAGAGACAGCATCACGTAAGAAAAAGGTGTTTACACTTCGCAGAAAACATGATCCGTGAAGTCGACAACAAATCGGACACCAGGGAACCATGAAGCCTCCGTGTCTTGAAACTTGCGGAGAGAGCAGAGTATCAGACAAAAACAATTCGCCCATTCTCCACAACGTCCCTCTCGGGTTTCGAGTAGCTTCCTTGGATTATTGTACCGTGGAAATCGCTTTTTCGGGTGAGCTTGAGATGTAGGACAAGTGTAGACTTCAACCCTTCCTGCATCACCTTCGTCAATTTCTTGTTGCGTCGGAGTGCCACGCGTCATTGTCATTGTGGAACCACATTCATCGCACACCGGCTCACTAAACCACGAAAAGAAGTCGTTCTTGAACCAGCGGAGAAGTTCCTGAAGAAGATCCAAACGCCTTACACTCGAAGATGTGCTCCTTTTTGCAGCCTTTTCTAGAAGATTATTCAGTGGAACAACATCTCTAGCGGCTTTCTAAAAAAAGAAGGATGTAGTATCAATCACATGAATGGCGGGGTGGCCCAATAATTCAATACACCCGCCTAAGTTACCTGAACAGAGAGATCAGCATAATTGGAAACTTGTTTCCGATAGGACTCTAAGCGCATAAGAACGCTGTGTTGGGAAGGATCAATCTTAGGAGGCGGTGGACCTTTCAGTTGACGTAAAAGTTTTTCAATTTGGTTACGATCACAACCCGCGGAAAGGATTAGGGAGTCTGACGATTCCTATATAGGGGTGTTTAATATTTACTGAAAACTAACTCGGAATCCCGCATTAAACAAAAACTGCATACAACCTGGAACCACAAGGAAATAGTTTTCAAAAACAGGGTCAGATAATTGTAGTTCAAAATCACGGCCAGAAGAAACGCATGACAGAGCATCACCCACGACGCTAAGTAGTTTAAACCTTGCTCTGCGGAATAAAGGATCCTTCGGACTATTTAAAAGCTCCCTGACTGAATCATCCAAATAAAGATTATCAAGTAGTTCTTCGAGCTTTAAAATGGGGCCTCCTTCAACGGTTATTTGAATTAAAATTGTTTGATTACCTGTAGCAGACCCTAAACACTGCCTCTCCTTATATATTTTAAACGTCGGAAGGACTCTAATACCCTCTCTCTGTGCTAGCTCAGGACATTCATCCACATTGACTTTTACAAAAACAACGTCAGAACTGTTGTATTGGGAGCTAAGTTGTTCAAAGAATGGGGCTATTTGAAGACAAGGGCCACACCATAATGCAAAAAAATCAACAACTAATAATTTTTCTTCAGCTGAGCTGAGTAGATCATCAAATTCATCAGCAGACTGAATTTCACGCATTAATTGGTCCAACGGAATTTGAGCAATTGGGTCAGCATTACAAAACTTACGGTGGCAATAATTTCGGCATTTGACATTGGAAACAAATCATGCTTAGGGTGGCAGGTTCATTTAAGCGAAACTAAAGATGCCTGATTCTATTTTATACACGAATACAAAGATAAGCTAGAGGAGCTTTTAAGCAATATGCGTATTGAAATCTTATCCTGGGAAAAGTTGTAAATTTAAATTTTAAATATTTTTAGGTTAACTTGGACATATGTCAATATACTTACCTTAAAACATTACTACCTAGGATAAGGCCATATGGTCCTACATTACACTTGCTAAATTTTCCTTTATGCTTGAAATCAATTTTTGCTTATTGGCCTGCACGTAGAAGTCTGAAGTGTGTATGGTTGTCACTGGTACTAAAAAACCTGATTAAGCAAATGAATGACATTAAACGCATTTTTTTTCGAAAAATAACCACTGTTAAATTTATTTAAGAATTCAGTAAGCTAAATGCCTTTTCTGTTATAACAGTTTGGTAAATATCCCAAATTATCCCAAAATTCACTTCCGAAATCTTTCAATCCAGGGTCACACGCCCGAAAGCAATTTGCAGTGTGCTATATTCTATGAAAGATGCACTATGTTTTCCTTTGTTTGCCTTTTTTAAACTTGCAAATTTTTTGGAGAGATTCATTATGATTAAAATGAAGATGTTCCTGGCATTAGACCACTTCAAGTGTGGTACGCGAAATAATCCTCCCACTGAAGTTGGAAAAAAATCAACAAAAAACACTCGCTAAGTCACCGACGAGGAGTGAAATGTCATTTTTATATATTAATCTTATTTGTAGTATCGTATCTGTTTCAATGGTAGATATAGCATAGGCAAATAATAAGAATTCAGGAGAGTTTCGAAAAACTTAAATCTGATGAAATTCCAGTGAAATGCATCTAAAAAGAAAATTCGTCACGTAAAAACAAATTTTTGCGCAATATTATGCTGAAAATCTTTGCCAGTTCAAAATTATATCCTTTTATATCGGATTATTTTAAATAATGATATTTATATAAATCGTTCCGTTAGAAATAATGTCAGTTGTATATTCGATTTCATTTCTAACTGGTAATGTTAACGCAAAAACTTGAGAATACAATTTTTCGTTTTGGATATCTCTTAAGCTTAGGGTAGGCTGATAAACCGGCAATGCGACTGATGATAATGCGTCGGGTACCCTTGGCTTTCACATCAGAAAAATATGATTCCGCTTTGTGACTACTTTCATTTATTAGAATTGCCTAAACATATTCTGATGACATATTGTGTACGATATTTCAATATTTTATAAGCAATATCATTCTAAAGTGTCCTTTGGAAACAAAGTGCCCGATCGAAAACTCGAAATAAAATACGTGAGGCGGTAACACAGTAACCAATAGGATTCATGCCTTCGCATTTTTGGAAGTTGTTTGTAATATTGCTTCCTCACTTTGCTGGATTTTGGTGAGTTGACACGAACTGGAGTTATTACACTGTTTTCGTAGTTTATGTAGGTTTTTTATATGCATGCGTATAATGCCTTAAATAGTTTCTGCAAGCGTGAATTTTATACTCCACCTCACTAAATTTATATAAAAAAAATTCGTATGTAGCTGGTTCAATCTCATTTTCGCTCATTTTTCAGCTCCCGTGCATATTTGAAAAAGGCCTATTACGTCATTCATTTTGAGATCTTTTACGTGGGTCATTTTCGGCGTCATACATAATGCAGCCTTTCGCTCGACTCAGACACCCAGGAATTTTTACGCACATATTCCCTGGTCTGTTTTCTAAAGTCCTTTCATTACGCCATCAGTTGTAGTGTATGGCGCACTGACATTGTGTTTTACTTGGTGTAAGAAAATTGTACGGTGAAAGACTTTTACTGGTGTGCGTCGCGTGCCACTTTGCATGAACGTTTTTCGATGTGCTGAGGGGGTAGTCTATGTAGGTGGCGATCTCTAGTTTAAATGAGCACCCGGAAATATTGCGAACACAATTCGTGTACACGATTTTTAGTCGCGTAACACTTCTTTTTACGATGAAATACCGGTTAAACAGGCGGATCCAAAGCCCTTTTTTGGTGTGCGTGACGGTGTGCTCATGTAATTTACAACTTTATTACGGATTAACGAGTTTCTCAAATCTCATTTGCAGAAAACTCTTTGTCTTAAACTTTGTCGATTCATATTTGTCCTGATTTCTACTTTTATTTCTGTGTTTCCATCTGCTCTACTGTGGGCCGTTTTCTTTCGCTATCTAATGGAGGTTGGATTATTGTGCTCCAATTTTTATTCCGTTTTATCGTAATTTATATGATTTATTATCTGCAATCCTGAACTCAGTGGCCCTGAAATAATCCAACGGCTAGGGGCCACATAATGCGGTCATGTTTAGATCTAACCGTATTTTCTCAACCTGTTAAGCTTGTATTGCAAAAACGATTGCTCCCCTCTCATTGATTTTTAATCCTTCCTGTTACGCCTCGATTTCATTGATCTGTATAAACGTTTCTTCTGACTGGTAAGGTTACCAAATAATCTACCCTCAATATGCCAAAGTATCGAGTTATTGTGTTACGTAGCTCATTTTATTCAATCTCCATTATTGTCAGAATTTTTACACCCATTCAATAGCAGATTAACTTCAATCGTTCTGTTTAGGTCCCCCTTTAGTAGTCGTAGAATTTATTGCGCTGGTATGTATTAAAGTTACATGTAATATTAGTTTGTTTTGCACTCAAGTTGACTTGGAAATAAACAGTCGGAATGCCTGGACCTCCGCCGCCGCCACCACCACCACCGCCGCCCCCTCCTCCAGCCGCACCTCCACCGCCATCGTTTGGTGGCGGCGGAGGGGGAGGACCGGCCTTCCTGGCCGATATTCGTAAAGGAGCAGCACTCAAGAAGGTCCCCGATTCGCAGAAAAAAGATCGCAGTGCTGCTCTTATTGGTTGGTTCCTCGTTATTTGTTACCTACGAGTGTCTTGCCTTAATGACAGTGTGTTAATCTGTTGGAATAGCAACAGAGGCTCGTTGTATCTCAATGTTGCAAACTCCCATGTTGACTCTTTGTTTATCGGAACGGTTAGCATCACTTAATTCTTTGCGGTTATCCCTGAGCGTGCCGATTCAGTAGTAGTTTTAGGTGTTTCCTTGTAGCGCAGTTTTTCAAAATACTTTATCGTCCATTGCTCATACCAGCTACTCACCTACCTAACCACACATGTTCCACCCTAACCCGGACGTGACTTAGTCCGGTTGGATTTTAACACCAATTAGATACGCTCATATGCTGTAGGTTTTCTCGATTTCGTGTACTGTCTGGGTTCCTCATGCAGGTACGTGTAGCACACCACAGCGACCTCCTCGCCACTGTTTTCCTTCTTTCTCTCCTGCAGGCGACGTGAAGGGTGGTTCCGCTACCGGAGGAAGCCAAGTTGACGGACGTGGCGCTGGATCAGCGCCCAGCGAGGGCGACATCAAGGCAAAACTAAACGCCATGTTCGGGGGTGCGGCCTCTATGCCTGCGGCCAAGGTTAGTTTCGACTCCCCGTCTACTTGACCGATTTGCCGGTTTGAAGCGATGGTGCGGTCTTGGCGATTTGATCTACCCACAGTCGGTGAAGTATGCTACCCTCTTCTTTCCCACCACCTTACTGCTATTGGTACTGTGCTGCTTCATTGACGCAGTACTTGAAATCTCAGTTCTAGGATTCACGTGGGCGACAGCTACACTTAAGTAGGACTTGAACCACCGAGCCAGCTTTTTTTTACATGAAATTCTTAAAATTCGATTGGCTCCCCAGATCTGAAGGAAGTAGATGTCAGTTTCGAATGTCGCTTTTTTAGGATCGGTACTTGAACTCATTACCCTGTGAGACTCTGAAGGACTTGATTAGCCGTTACAGTGAGCACTAGTGTTGTGTGTTGTTATGTACCATACTGAGCTGTGTTTCCAAAAGGACCACGCCTTGGTTCATTCCAGTTAAAATTTGCGCTTTGTTCAAATTTTACATGTTAAAACTCAAGTTGTCGTTGTTATTGTTGTTGTTGTTGATACCGCCTCGCGCATTCGTTGTTAGGACTCGATCGTGCCCTCTAATACTGCTACTCACAGCAGCTCAAACGCCATCGTCTTGTGTCGTCTTACAGCTACCGCAGAACCTGACATTTCTTACACGTGCTTAATTCCGTAGGACGGGGCAACAGAAGGTGGTCCGTGTCGCCGCTGAATGCCGTTGTGAGCAGTCCAACCTGACACCAAAGTTGACGGGGGCCTAACCGTTTATTAGGCCGCAGAATCCTGCTGTTTCAGTGGTCGAACAGCGTGGATTATGCGTCATTGGGTGTAAACACAGAGGATAAGCGGGGTTTGTGTGCACACACAGGGTAAACATTGGAGTTCATTGAGTGAATACAGATTTAGACCCGGGCTACTCAGCTAGGAGTCTGCGAGGGCGAGTAGAGGTGGGAAATGCGGTTGGCGATTGTGAATCCCTAGGCTACGTTTTTAGTCCTTCTCTCGAATATGCCAAGCCGCCGCCTTTTTCATAAGTTGCACTCGATTTTAGGCGAATGGGTGTGTTAGTAGTAGGTCGCCTTAACAATCGCGCTCGCCCCACTCGCGATAGCCTAATCACACACACGCGCGCGCGCAGTCGTGCGTGGGCGGCAGGTGCCAATCGGAAAATATCGATTTTTGGGTGCGTCGCGGTATTTACTGTGTGTGTGTGTGTGTCGTATGCTGCACGCGCTTACACTCACAGAGTCAAGACAAGGATTTTGTAACTCAGACAACCTTGTCCGTCCCCCCCCTCAAACCCACGCGTGTATCCCCCAAGACCACGATAATTGGCCACGTGTGAATCTACTTGAGTGTGAGCAACGCACCGGATAGTTATTCCACTGCCACAGCGCACTCAAATATGGGGTTAAAGCAACCTTCAAAGGGTTTGGCACAACCTCCAAAACGCGGTTTTCTGTGCCCCACGTGTTTTCGTAAACATGGGCCACGCGCAAATCAGATATCACACCCTGTGTTTTATATTTATTGGACTTTTTTTCAAAAAGGTAAATTCCACATTTGATTATCACATTCTAATATTTCACTACCATATGCAGATTTCTGAATTTGCGCTAGTAATTCGGACCATGATTGAGCAGGGTAATTCCCACGGTAACTGAAGGCGCGTTGTACATGCCATCAACAAGGTGATGTCTAACGTGAAGGGTGTTCGTGTAGTTCACTCAGCCTCCGACACGTGTGAACTGTTGATTCAAACTTTATCCAAAATGGATTGATAAAATCGCGAACGCAAATGCCGAATTTTGTACGAGTTGAATCCTCCAGGTAGAAATGTCGGCATGACGAGTACCAAATCGGCAACATTCCGAGCGGCGCCAACGTTAAATCACTGCAGATGGTATGATTAGAGAACAGTTGTGACGTGGTTTAAGACCTCAACAAGGCCTGACCGGTCATTCATGCATGGATTCGCTTCCACCGTTGGAAGCATTGTCACTTCTCAACTGCCTAGGGGAATGCCGTGACACTGTTGACCTCCATCATGTGGATGGCAGGTGTGTCCGGATTCCTGGCCCACGCACGATCACTCCTTCCACTGCAGTAACTTTGTATCCAGGTTGCAAAATAACAGGGCAACACATTTCAACTTTGTGCGACGTGTGAAGTCTCGGGCAGGGATCCCACTCTGAAATGAAACAATGCGCCACTCATTTAGCCAAATTGGCGTTGTATATTTGTGGGAAAGTGAATGTGCATCGTTACCCGTGGTCGTGTCAGCTACTTGCGGTACTGTCAATTGAATTATCTAATTCCCTCGTTTGTTACGATCTATATTTAATAAGTCGCAGGATAAACAACATCGAGATGACTTTACAAGCTAGTGGGATCGCTATGCTAACTACTCCTTCCCAGCACTTTTTGTTCAGTAACTCCTCACAACCTCATCCGCCTTTGTGTTGTGGCTGAAAAGCTTTGCCACCGAGCTAACAGAACGGAGGACAGAAGCCGGGCGTGTACCAGACATGATTGGCAGGTGCTTGGTGTTTGGCCTTTTTGGTGGATCAATGTGTGTGTGCGATCTCCTATAACGTGATCACAATACATGCGGACATGCGGTGTTATTGAACAATAGCATAAAAGGCGCCGACGAGGTCAATAGATGTGTAGTCTGCCATGTCGTCACCTTTCACGTCAGTCATTGGATCGAGTTGTAGCTTGTTTCCCACTCATTTCTCAGAATCGTGCCCCGTGTAGTTGATTGCAAAACTCGGTACTATGTGGTTGGTAGGTCGGTTTGGTTCCTAAATCGCACTTTTTAACATCTTTTCATAACCCCCTGTTCAGCGATTAAACAGATCTCGTCTTACTATTTTCTAGCGTTTGAAAAAACCAGCCAACCCATCCTCCCAGTAGTTGCGGTCTTACTGCATCATTGTCATCCATCCTCGCGTCGGTGTAGCATGTTGCCCTTTTTTCGTTTACTCAATTGCTAGCATGTCCCCTTCGTGTGTACACGCATGTCACGCGCATCGTTCGTGCCTCTTTTTCTGTCTTGCGCTTCCTAGCCAAGGTCTCCGGGTTCCTCCACGTATCGACCCACGTCTCCTTCCTTTCCGTCTCCTCCTCCTCCTCTTGCCCCCCCTTCAGCGATGGCTTACCAGCAACCACCACCCCGACCCTATAAGGCTTCACCTGCGCCTCCTCCTCCGCCCCCTTTACCGCCATCCAGACCCACCGCACCGCCAGCCAATCAAAATGGCCCTGTGATTCCCGTTCTGGAACAGCCTCCACGGAGACCGCAGCCTTACCTTAATCCTTACAAAAAAGTACGCCTCCTTTTTGCACTTAATTTGTTGAGGCACCGCTGCTGCCCGCTTTCAGTGGCTGCGGCACGATTCCTGCGCCCACACCGGCACCGCTAGATTGCATAGTCCCGGTTACGCTTCACTGGTGCTCACGTTGGAGTGAGGCGACAACTCTGGCGTGTGTTGTGTTTCATGTTTAAGCGAAGGCGATTTTCACACGGACACTTGCCCGGTCATGAGAAAGGAGGTTGAACAGGCAAATGTGGCGTCACATTCGGAGCTGAAGCAATAATTACCGCTTAGCGCACCATCGCCTTGGCGTCCTTGTTGGTTCTCAAGGAAATTTTTTTTTCAAATCGGGGCGTCGAGGCAGCTTGTTCTAATCGCACTTATCTAAGATTGGTCCTTATTGTCTTTGCAGAATACACAGCTACCCATTCTGCCAACAGATTCTGCCGCCATTTCGCCTGTAGATTCAATGTGCACGACTCAGTCTTGACGCTGTGGTGTCGTGATGCCGAATCGCCAGTTAATTGGGCTTAACTATCTAGCCTAGTTTTCCCCAGTCACCTCTGTGCGGTGTTTGAGTGCACGCGAAGTCAGTTTTTTTGGGTCCAATGTCCTCTTAGCCTGTGAAGTCGATTCAAGCCACGCTAGTGGTGTTTCTAATCCACGTTGCGCTGTTTTCGTCTCACTCGACACTACCTGATGTGGCTTGGCGAAGCACAGCGGTGTGCTTGGGTGCTGGTTTTCGACATAAACATTCCTATATGACCTGCGCTGTAGCACTTGAGCTCCACAATTGCCGTATTTCTGCGCTGTAGGTGTCTTGTTCACCGGGGTGAAACCGATATTGCCACTTGTCACATTAGCCCTCAAAAGGCACCACCCCAGTTCTGCTTGGTAACTCTGCTGCTGCTTCTCTTATAATCACATTACTCGCTGACGCCAGCGTGAATACGTCGGGGCGTCAGTTTAATCGAACCAAAAATGTACCTGCGTAGGTTTGTGTGCAGTCTTAGCACTCAAAATGGCGAGTTGGCAGTTAACTTGTCATCATGTAATGAGTTTAAAAAAGAGGGTGGGCGCTGGAACCGCGGCAAGATGCATTCTGCGTGTTTAGTTGAGTTTTGCTCTAGTTAGGCGTGGTTAGGTCGATTTGGTGAACGAATCACCACGGAAGGGCTTGCTGTGGGACTTGAATACGTGTCGTAACTTGATGCGTGGATCCTGTATGTTTCGATACTCCGTGGCTAACATCCCAAACCAAGCTCTATTTCGAAGTCTCTAGCCGCGGCGTTTTCACCGCACCCACAAACCCGTTCTTCATCAGCCACTGGGTAGAAGCCGCAGGGGTTCATTTGGTCCTAAGATCCCCATGTCAGATTATGCATTCCCAGGCAACGGGTAACTTTAAGTCAAAAAGCACAAAGTTTCTTGAAAACATCTCGCATAAGAGACCGTCATTACCCATTGTTTTTTCTGACGGTCTTGGTGCCAGTCAATTACGCGCATGTTGGCAGGGTAATGAAGCCTTGTCGTGTGTGTGTGTGTGTGTGTGCGGGCGGAGGTGGTGCACGTGAAACAGCATGATTCACCTCACCCAAGTTCCCAATTAATTTGCCTTGACGCCATGCACTTCTGAAGACGTGCTTTCCGCCTCTCTAGTTGTGGCCGGCCTCATTACCTTCCCCGATTTATCGTTGTTTTGGTTTGTTCTCTTCAAGGAGCCTCCCCCTCTACCTCCCCAGCAGCCCCCTCTTGCCAGCTATCCCCCACCGGGGGTATATCCAACTGACACGAGGCGCGCGAGTCGGCCCGCTCCGCAGGTGCCCGCCCGGCAGCCCTCCTTCAATTCGAGTGGCGTGCCGTTTGACCAGCGATTCGATTTCCCAGACGAGTCCACCTTTCCGCCGCCGCCGCATATTTACGTCGGACCAAAAACCTACATCGAGTTTCGTCCTGGTGCGTTTCATCAAACACCCACCTAGCCTTCTTATCTCTCTTACTGAGACGGCCTTTCCCTTAACCTCGAAAATTATCGCTGTTCCATTCTCCCACGATCGGGGGTAAACGGTCGCTTTTGTTCTCTTAATGCATGCTTTACGCCTAATTTGATTGTACACAGTGTGGCTCTCATCGAAGTAGTTCAGTGGTTACTTGGGCTCCCACGAAGCAATCGCGTCATCGTCTGATTTGGCAGTAGCGTTCATGTCGGGGTGGGGAGGGGGAGGGCGTGTTTCAGAATGCTGAGCATTCAATTACTGAATTAACTAGTGCACAGTGCAGTTGGCACTGATCCGCCATGTTAGTTAAAATTAACCACCACCACCACCACCCACGCGACAGCTAGGGCAGCTGCACGCTCCTCAGGTGCCAATATGTGCACTCTTGTCAACCGCTTCGCTGGGCAGGCTTAATGCTACACCGGCGGTAGGCGCATTAGCTCTCAGCACGTGGCTGACACCTCGCGGTTGAATGTCCTCACTCATCTCCATCAGGTTAACGCTTTCAAGCGGGTGAATTAGGCTTGTCGCATTCAGCAGAACTGGGCCTCTCTTCAACGCCGCGGGTATTGACACTGATAGCTTGGGGCGATGTGGATCCAATGTGGACTGTCTGTCCCCCGACTGGGGGTTGTTTCGTTGCCTTCTTCAGTTTGTAAGATTGGGATTTTGCCATGCATAGGCCACCAATCGATTTTCGATTCAACTGGTGGCCAATTCTCTCCTTCATTCGTGCAGTGCATTGTGGTGATTCATGTCTTGTCTACGGCGTCTGTACCTCTCCCATTGCTTATGCTCACTCGTCTGGGCATTCAGTCGTTAGTTCTCCCACTAGTTCGCAATCGCCCCGATGTGGTCCTAGCTAACACACCGCGGCCAGAAATTGGCAGGATTTGAGTCGCCGGATTCGGCGGCAACTGGCCAATGCGAGCATTGGGAGGTAGCGGGTACTGCCGTTGGCAGCACGAACACCAAGACACATGGGAGCTCGCGTGCACACTGCACCTCACCCTTGTTCTGCCCTCTCATTTCAGAAAGCCAGCGGTTTTGAATGAAGGAGCAAGCAAGCAGGCGGTCGTCTTTCTTCCTACCTTTCTTTCCCCCCCTTAACGTGCCTTTTCGCCATCGAGAGCCTTCCACACCAGTGCAAGGAAACGCGCAGCCCCCAAGACTGCTCATCCACATTCGCCTGACTTAACCCGGACCCCGTGTGTGTGTGTGCAAACGCTGCGCACACGCCCACACCTCTGGCTTTGCTATTCTTGCAACTCTATCTTGACCTTTTATATACCTGTACTAGCAGCATTCAGTCACTTTGCGTTTTTTCCCTCAAGATTGCATTAAAAGCTAAAAACTCTTGGGAAAAGAAGAAGCCGCTTCTTGTCCGAGTTGGTTGCGTTAATTTGTTCTCAACTTTGGGAGTGTCTGTGGTTACGGCCGCAAGGCCCCGAACCTGCTTGGTTTGACGCCCTGACGAGCGGTCTGTTTTGTTTGTTGATGCGTTTTGGGGAGATCCGGAGATTCTGAGGTGTTGCTCTCACCATCCACAGCCAATGGCCTTCACTGGGTCAAACCACTGCGTGTTTTTGGTGTTGACTTTAGCGCCTCAGAATGTAAGCAGCACCACGTCGCTCATCGTGGGTTGTGGCACCACGTTAATGAAACGTTTAGAAAGTATAACCGTTTCGCCAAACTTCAATTCAGTGCATCCATTCGTCCAAGCCCGAAGTAGATTTCTTCTTGTGATTGAAAATAGAATGTGCGTCTATGCGGCGATCATTGGTGCATGGTCGATTTTTTTCGCATGGAGGGATCGGGCAGTAGAGTAAAAGGTGGCAGAAGTTACTCCATAAAAGGACAAGAATAACGAATTTAATTTTCAAAAAAAAAGAAACTAAAGTTTTATGTAAGGAAGTAGTCGATTTACCAGTGCGCTGTCGGTTTCTTGAGTGCTGCTTTTTATTGGCAGCTGTGGTTGCACTTGACACGTGTGACATCGGGTAGGGTGGCATACGTGGATGCTGGAAATTTTCGAGCTATTTCTGGCGAATTCAGAGACACTACCCCTGACGTGGGGTTTCACACATTCTGCCAGTGTTATTCTTAGCCTAATCGAGGGTAATTCTCTTGGCAGGGGTATCGTGTCGTGCCTCGTCTCGGTGTCGCATGAGTTTTCATAATAAAGGCTGAACTATGCGAGTCAGAGGAGCATGTTTACCAGGAAATCGGTGGAGCTTGGTGTTAAGTTGTGCAAGCCAGTGACGAACAGTTGATGATAAGACCAGTTAGCAAACCAAACCCACTAAGGGGGCGCCAGAAGCTTTGCTCAAATTTCAAACAGAAGTGTTCAGATGGCAGGGACATCGGCATCTGCACCAGGTATCGATCGTGGGTTCCATTCACGAATTTAGTTTAAACACAAGCACAATCATAGCTGTGTAGTGACATTCTCACCAAAACCCAATCTAACGGGATTATTTGTGGACGCCACCAAATCAGGGCTCTAAAGCACGTGTTTTCGCGAGTCTGGTTTGAAGAAATGATCGATTTCATTTGTAGAAATGTCTGACGAAGCTTTGATGTCGGATGCCTCCTGCACGAAATCTTCCATTTCGTCTGTTGACCCCTACGAGTCCACCTCGGACTCCCCTACTGTATGCTAGTGGTTTGTAATTATTAAACCTCTAACAGGCCAATTATTTTTCCGATCTCCCACATACCCACACACAAAACCATTTATTGAGTAAAAATTAATTATTTTTTTTAAATTCCAACCACCGCCGCATGTGTGCGTGGTGTGTGCACGCGTAGATAGCTGCCGTTTGGTAGTCGTGTGAATGCGCTCGGTTAACGCCAGCCTTATCGACTTACATCCACGCGTTCACAGCCTGTGCGTTGTGAGATCCAACGAATCAGCATGCTAATTAGTTGACTTTGCAACGACGAGGTTAAACAGCGTTAAGTGGTACTTCACTGTGCTAATTTTGCCCTTTCAGAATTCCCTCTACCGCCAACCGCCCCTGAATGAATACGGTTCTCTAACCGCCAATCAAAATTCACAAATGCGTCGCCTATTTAGTGAATGTGGAACAGGCATAAATAGAATATCACAAGAAATAAACAATCTGAAGATAGAATTGAAGGTAATATAGCTTCTTTTTTTAAAAAAAATTGTGAGTCCCAGGATGTGGTCTTGAACCACGCCGGGGCCACTGAATTAACCCCAGCCCGATTATGCTTCCCTGATATTCGCGATGAAGAAAAAGACTACAGAGGACGTGGAAACAACCGTTTTCACTTCAGAGCTCAACCACGTTGGTGTCGATGTGTCGTGGGTGGCTTTTGCGTGTGTAAGTATATACCTCAGATGTGTGAGTCATAGATGAGCTAACATCGCGAGGATAATCCAGGGTGAATTTTCGTGCTAACGAGGGAGAGCAGGCGACATACCGTGAAAAGGCGGACCCTGTGTCGGGGGCTGAAGTGCTCGGATTAGCGAGTGTGAATCAACGCGAGTCACAGCATACTAGTTTATTCGATAAGCAATCTCATTAGAATCGCCGGTAGCCTCACAACTTAGTGATTTCACAAAATACTAACTTCTAGTACAAAGTAAACTGTTTGGCAGGTAATTCACAATGAATGCAAACCCAGCAACCTCCTCATAGCCACAACGGCAAGTGTAATTGGTAGGAGTAGCCTGTTGAGGTGGTTTTACACCATTATTCTGTCTATGGTGATGTGCTTACTCCATGTCAAAACGGATTAAATTTGAGTGCCGTGTGCTGCTCAAACTGCGGCAGAACACGAGCATACGTAAAACAGGGATTGTGTGCGGCTGGACGCCTGTGTGACTTGCCATCGCTGGGAGTGTAGATGATCTCTTTTGTCGCATCTACAAACCCAGCACCAGCCCAGACTTGGAAAACAACGCTTTCGGGCATCTTGTGTTAGCTGTGTTCGCAAACCGGACTAAATATGACGAAATTTAATAAAGAAAAGCTGTGCATCCCTATTGGTCATTTAGTTGGATGAGTCAGAGGCAACTGGACATTACCAAGTTAGGAGCGGCCCCCTTTTAGACGATTGGGCGCTTGATAGGCGACCACTTTTACCTGCGCAAAGTTGACCTACTTGTTTGTTGGAAATGTGCGGTTCTGTTTTGGTTGAAATATCGTGAGTAGAGTTGTGCGATGTCACAGTCAAGCATCAACGAGTAACCCCTCAATTCCCTACGACAACTTTCTGCCAATCGGGCAACTGACGTGAGATGCTCGATCGAACTTGGACAAGAGAGACACGCCACAGGCAGTCTCTCATTCGCCGCTTTAAATCTAAGGGTTCGCAAGAAGCCCCTCAAAGACCCGGGAGAGATCGACGTCTTGTCGACACTTTGAAAGCATCCAGATTGTTGCCGTCCGCGAAGACGACCTTCACAAGACGTGTTTGACATCGCTAAGCGACGAGTCTTAAGAAATGGCGTACAATCCACACATTGGTGCCAAGTTGTTCCAAACACTGAACGAATGTGGTTTTGATTGTCGTGAAGTAGAAAGGGATGCCACATTCCCAGAGAAAACGCAGACTTACGACGCCTACTAGGCAAGTGAAACTCCGTGCTTAATTCTAGAGGGTTTGGCCGACTAATCCCTCATTCCTTATGACAACATTCCACCAATCGGAGAACTGACGTGAGATACTCAATCTACCGTTGACAAGAAAGACACCAGGGGTAATCTTATTCGACACCCGGAGGGCAGACGGTTGCTTGCAAACTTGAATACAAGTTGTTTTGAGGCTCGAGATCTCTCAGCGATCAGCAGTGGAAATGCTCGGATCAAATCGCCCACACTTGTGCCACTCATAGCGCGAGGATGATTTTAACCCGTCAAGAACAATTCTACCGAGATCACTCAGCACTTGCCTAGAGTAAAAATTAGTTTCTGGTGCTGCAAATCTCCATCTACCCTGAAAACCGAGTACTCTTAAGCAGGTTGTCGCGAATGCAGAGAAATCCTGTGCATAGGTCAGCATAGAATTGTCCCCTTTCGATTGCTGACGTAAAAATCAGCAAGCTCTAGCACTTATGCTCTTTTTGATAGCCAAGTCACTGACAACTCATTCTCAATTCAATTTAAACAAACAAAGCACTATGCTACCACGTGCGTTTATTCCTCTACCGAGTTTTTGTGTGTTGTTATCAAACACCAGAAACCAATTTTCTAGATTATTGACACGTCTTTCCGGTAATTTGCTGGAACCTTAAAATTATTAGCAGAAACTGGAGCATGAGAGCGCAGGATTGAGAACATCGCATCTTTTGCTGTTTCTTTTCTCTAGAAAAACTGTAACGAAGCGAACCACGTTCTGACTGAGAAGTCGGCAATCCAGATATCGCCAATGCTTGCTAGCTCAATCGAGTGGACAGAATCGTTGTCTGTGAGTTTTACAGCTTAACGACAAAGTTGCCGGTTGTCAAAGATCCACTAATCGCGCCATTTTTAATTAGAATAATTCAAATAAGGAGGCAACGGCGTCGGAGCAAAGCTATGAAACCTCTGACACCGAGAGTGCCACGGAATATTCCTCTCTGTCTGACCAAGCGTAAGTCTGACTGCGTACAAATCCTTCACTCTCCTTAATTTTGCGTTTTGTATTCCTTCGTACTGAAATCGAGCCAGTAGTAGTTATATGTAGCCTAAAATAATTTGTTTCTTCTTCCTACCGAAACAGCGGTCTGGCGGATGAATACACAAAGGCGGCAGCACCGATGAGCAGGAAGCAGGTAAATATGCAGGCATTTAAACACCACTTTTGTTTTCAGCAGGTAATGCGAAATCGAGAGAACATCGCGGCCCAAACACTTCACGTGCAGGCAGAAATCGACAAGTGGAGGTTCGTCGTTCTCGTAACCTCTGGCGTTGGGCATGCTATAGCCACTAATTGAGGTGTCCATTTATCCCGCTAGGATATCTGACCTTGACGTGACCTTACGCTGACCCTACAGGACGTACTTTTATGAGCCATTCCCTCTAGCGTTTGAAAATTCCTAAATATGCCTAGTTTTGGTTTGGTGTGTGCAGATATAAGCAGCTGTAGTGGGTTTACGGTAATTTTGTTTTCACTTGACAATCCTTTGCAACCTGTTTGAAAATTTTGCTCAAAAAACGGTGACCGAATCTCCACTGAAAGTTCCAATTAAAATTGAGCCACGAGGCGACCTTGACCTCAAAATGTTTGCGGCCTCTAATAGCGAAAATCGATAATATAATTGATTTGGGTTGTCTTCCGTTAGCACCTCATGGCCAACCAGGAGGCCAGGCATTGAAACCGGATGCGCTACATCCTTGTTCAAACTTATTGATTTATTGATTCACCTGAGGTTCTTGATCATTCCTATGCTCTGATCTTGGGTTGAGTAATTGTTCTTATTGTGTTGGGGATATAGTGCTCCCCAATCCATCTCCTCTCTGGTCAGGATTTCGTCATTGCTTGCACAATTCACCTAACCACGCCACCTCAGTGAGTGTATCACCCACACCACCCTACTGACAGCTCCATTTGTGTGAATCAACCTTGATGCATCAGGTCATGGAGACTCTTAACTTCCACGAGGTCTTGTCTGGTCTCGCAGTAGCACGGGAAGGTTTTTTAGTGAGCCATAGTACAGCAGCGATTCGTTAGAGCTTTACTGCGTGACCTTGTCGCCGCTTAACGTCCATTCAGTGCTTCAGCTGTTAATGTTGTAGACATCTCAGCCGGGAATTCGAAGCCACGCCACACAGGCGAGGTGAGCTCTTGCATTTTCTGTTAATGTCATTATTTTGTTCACTGCTTATTCCCTTTTGGTCCTCTTTTCAGGCCACCTGGAAGGAGTAAGCATTACTTCTGCAATTTCATAAGTTTTATTTATTCAAGATTGACTGGAAGGCTGCGAAGTAAGTTGTGACACTCATTTGAATGTCCCCTGTCCCGATTGATATCAAAATGCCAGAAGAATTGCATTAAGTCGTGTTTTGAAGGCATGGACATTTGTCAGACCAAAGCAACAACAACAACGCCGCGGGACTGATGTAGGTGTTTCACATTTTGCAATCATAGAGACCCCGCCTACTCAAATAGTTTAAGTAGATGGTATTTTGCAACGCTAGGGACCAAGTTGAAACGCACTTCGCGGCTGCCACAGATGTTACTGGACCGTCGGATACGAGGGGCGGTAAAACTGCTAACGGAGAAGAAAAGGGACAAGCACGTTGCGAGGTGATTTGGCGCAGCTAATAGGGCTAATTTAATCAAACCACACGATAGTACGTGTTTCTCTGTGTTCAAGACCATACGAGAAGCCCTTACGTGTCTATGGAAGGCCCTATTGGAGGCCAATTGTGCCATTTACACAAAAGAAGGGGCCAACGAAGCTGGTTTTCTACCCGAAAGTGGTGAGTTTTTGCGGCTTTTGGACTTGTGGAGGGTGGAAGATCCCGCGCAGGTAGGCAGAACTTAAATTGCAAGTGTACACATCAGAAACCGGTCACTTTACTCACATTTTACTTAACGCAGATACGTATTATTAATATACTTCACTACAACCTGGAGAATGTTGTTTCTGGATGTGTAGAACAACGAAAAGCTCTCACCCACGCACTTCATGAACTCAGCAAAAAGAACGACCAAATTTGCGCACTGAAAAGGCGCCTCATGACAACCAAAAGCGATTTACGAAGACTGTGGACGTCATATGTTAGTACTACTGGCTTGATGACTCCCTACTTAGTAGTATATTAGATGGTCAGCGAAATGTTTACGGTTGTAGATACTTCTAGAACAGGAAAATGCCAAACTCAGAGGTACCGTGTCAAGCACGAAGACCTATCCAGAGGATCTGCTAACACCTGAGTTGGACCTGAAGCCCGAATCAGGCGACGTTCAGGTCGTCATCGAACCCCGAGAAGACTATCTAATTGTGAGTGCGTTATTTGGCAAAACTTCCGTTACCACCGAGTCTCTTTAACTGGTTTAAACTCGGCCCTTAGAAGCGATTGAACGAATACGAAGAGATCATAATTCGTATTGCGCTCGCTTTGTCGGACGTGGCCTTGAGCGCGTTTGAACGAACAAGTAGGTGGAGCAAATGCCAGACCAATTTATTGTAGAAGGTTCATTACACGACGCGGCGGTTGTTGAGAGGACGGCTTCGAAGGAATTGGCTATCGCAGCCCTCAAATGGCCAAAAGCTTGCAAAATACGGTTCAAGGAGGCAAGTTGTTTTCGGTAGATTTTGATAGTAAAATGCATTTGTTTTAATTTTAGTACTGCGATGTGGGGGTTCTGATTGGATTTCTTTTATCTAATAAGTATAATTTTCTACTTTAGTCGCAGTGGTTCATATGCATCTAGGTTTACAACCTTTTGAAAAATTATGTATACTTAAATGATCGTAACTGTATATTTCTTTTTTAGGAGACGTTTGGCAAGGTATTTGTGGAGGAATTCCAGGCTCTTGTGAGCGCACTAGTTAATTTGTCAGCTTGACTTTTCATCTATTCTGCAAGCATATATGTCTGAAGAACTTTGATGTACGATGTTTTGCAATAAACACCACGTATGTTTTCAAATGGTATTTGCGCATTTCTTCATTACCTCTAGGCCCAGAAAATGGTCAGTTGTTACTGTAGGGCATTTAATCTGTCTGTGTTTGATTACATCGTGAAATGAGATGTTTGGGCTTAAATATAAAAGAAGAATACACAGGTTAATTGCAAAACGAGATTTTTCTCGCACTGTCAAAAAAACATGCTTTAATGTAATTTAGACGTTAGGTTATACCAGAAAATCTTACGCATAATACATAAAATAACCTAGTAAATTGATATGAGTGAAACAGGATCTCTTTATATTCTGCGTTTAAGTGAGGGTTCCATTATGTTATATCGTCAGAAGATTTCGAGGAATGCATTTATTGTTATTCTGGTTACAAAATCAAAGTGCACAACCAACTCCTCAGAAATTAAGTGGTCCTGGGAAATCTGCTTACAAATATTTTAGGCTTTTTTTTTATTGTAGAACATGTGTTATTTAAAAAATTTGCAAAATCACAGGATCATTTTTGAATATAGTCAAGCAGGCTTAAAGCTTACAAAATAAGACACCGCCATCTAAACGAAAAATTTTTGCATGTACATGCAGAAAATCTAAGTTTAAGAGTGATAGCTGACAATAGTAAAAAAGTAATTGAAGCTGAATTTTCGGCTTTGGACAACTAGGATGAAAAGTAAACTGGGATCCCTTACTTGTATTATACCTTGAGCACTTTACGACGACTGTTTTAAATGTTTACAAAGCAACTAATAACTTTACTTCAGAGTTAAAATCCATAAACCTTATTAATATTGAGATGTCACTAGCTTCTCACTTCCGTGCGGCCATTTTTACTGGCTATCCAAGATTTGTGGCATTTGTCTATCGCTGCATTTTGTGACTCAAAATGGTAGGAATTTCATTTATTGATTACATCTCTAAAATCATGATTTTTACGACACCTTTGACAACTTATAACAGAAAGAGTTACTTTTTCTGTCTTTTATTATTTGTCTTGGGTATAATTATGCCATAACAAGACGCTGATATTATACCTCACATGTATGTTTTTGTCCTTTGTGCATAAGCTTCTCATGTTAACGGGATACTAATCGCTGATTTTGTTAATTCAAAACCTTTTTAATTTTAAAGAAACTCTGTTTTTGTTTTTTTTTCGAATGTGTGAATGTCATATTTCCTGGAATTTGGTTGATATTTTTGACTTCTGTATAATACCTTCAATCGTTCAAAACTAAAATCATACAATCGAGTGTAGAACAGCTCAGTAAGCCTGATTTAGTAATAGTATAAAGATGAACGCCATGTTGTTAATGCCCTTAAGTGACCGCAAAAAATAATGCGAAGTTAGCTGAAGCTGGTGGTTTTTACGTAATGTATGGGTGGTTAACCTATTCTCTTTATGCCATTTCTGTTGCGGAAAAGTTTAGGACGACGATCTTTTTCTAGTTGCAAAGGTGTTAAAACATGGTCTATCTAGTTTGTCGTTGTATGTTTACTTTTTAGGTTGGCGATATGCGTCATCCCAAAATGCAATCAAATGTAGATTTGGTTAGCTACCTCGTAACGAAAAATGCATGGAAAGGAAGGTTTGTTCCGTGTTTATTCTATAGTTGATATACTTGTGTGACATTTATTTGATCCACTTTCTCTGTTATGCCTCAGCTTCTTCATCCGATATATATTTAGTTCAATTACACACAAGGGTTTTTCTTCGTTTTATTAGTGTTTTTTAACAGTCTTTGACATTAACTATGCGTGGGAAGATTGATCAGTGACAATCTGGATTATAAGGACCGCAGAGCATCATACACTATTAGTGTTTGACAAACTACTCGGTTTTCCTTTAAGTTTTATTGCGTAGGCATTGCAAAAAGTTGTGGATAAGCAAGCATTAATGACCTCAACATGCCGAGACACTTGGTTCTGTGAGAAGAAAATACCGCTACCAATTCTTCTGATTTGTAATTTTGTTCTGCCTTCCACTGAGCTAACCCCTGAAATTCGTACGTTTGTAGAAACCCAAGCTTTCTTTTAGTTTTCATTCATAAAATTTTCACGAGCAGTAAGTGTGTGTGTGTGTGTGTACGTGCCTGCCTGCCTGTCAGGATTAGTCATAACACAACAGATTTCGATGCGGTTGCTAGGTTTGTTTGTGTGAATGGGACTTTTAACAAAACAAGTCACCTTTCTTCTATAAACCTACCCTTTCTAGCATCTGCTGCAAGTTTTTTTGGCTGGCAGAGCCGGTTAAGTAGGTGTGTGAATCAGTTTGGCTCTAATGTTTCTCTTTTTTTTAATATCGTGCTGTATCACACCCACACACTTGTTTATTGGGCCCTATGAAGAACTAATCGCCTGGTGACCTTGTTTGCTTACTGAAAAGTAAAAATTACGGCTTTTCGTTTACATAATCATAAAACACGTTAGTCATGGGGCCCGTATTGTTTACTTACGTGAAAACTATGCGCGCCCATTCAATCTCGGCACATAATTTCGTTGTTTCATAGTTCAGATTGATTGTGTATATGATAATAAACCTAAATTTATCTTACATACATGGTCACATTATGTTTTAGGCTCCGCGTAATAGATGTTTATTTGAAAAAAAAATGACGAGATTAATTGCCTTTCATCAAATTTGCAAGCTTTGTTGGCAGTTAAGGTGACCTCGTTGGCAAATAATCGACTGCAACCTACACCTGAATCTCTTTCAGTAGCTCGGAAACACCGTGTAAACAAAATTTCTTCGGTTTACGCAGAATTAGCATGATGCTGGTTGCGTGCGTGGATGATGCAAGCTTTCATTGCAAAATAGCGCGCGCATGGGTGAGGTGAGACGTCCTAGAGGACTCTAGGAAGAATTTCGGCAAGCCATCAGTTATTACGTCTTGCCAGATGTCTTCTCTACTTTCATAACAACATTGCGCCTTCGTGGGTGTTGTATAACCGAGATTTCGTAGAGAACAAGGAGGGGGGGCGTGTTGTAGTAAGTGTTCTCCAACATGACCAGCTATGCCTTCCTGTCAGATGTCTTCTTTCTAGTAATCCAACCTTTCGACTGTGTCTCCTTTAACCACCATGAGACACAACCAGGAGTCTGTGTGTAACACGACCGCTTATTCGCAGTCTCTGGCAGCACTTAGGGTTGAGTACTGATTCGTAGAGGTTCTTACCTATCTCCACTTGTAGTTCCTTCTCGTCGGCTCTATGCCACACACACACACACGCACCAGTCTAGTTTGTACTCCTACCCGACTAAACCACTTGTTTGCCTTTCCTCTCCACGTCCCTTTTTTCGTTTAGTTACAGACGGATACTATCGATTGGCACACTGGGTGTCACCACCTACCGGAAGGACAACTTGCGCGTCACCAACCAGGTTGGTTCCTGTGCCTCTCTTTTAAGGCCGTATTTTTCACCTATTTAAAAAAAATGGCCAATTGCACCATCTTGGAGCAGCGGAGTAAACTGCTTGCGGCCCCAACGCCATGTGGCGATTTCATGTCCGAATAAAACCAATCCTGCCGTATGACCGATCGCTTTTACCGTTGCCTTGTGAGCCTAATTAGCTGACCTTGGTGCTCGTTTATTTATCTACTACACATTCGCACACACACACACACCCACACTACCGTTGCTGTGCGTAGCCACATGCTTCGTTGCGGCACATGTGAACGGGTGTGGTGCAGGTTGCGATAGGTAGAGAGATAAGGTTTCTCATATCCTGCACTCTTTTTGCGATGACCTTGCACGTACTAGAGCTAAGTTAGCCTCTTATGATGGGCTGATGTGCATCAAGCGCTATAAGTAGCCCGTGTGGGCGTTCTGTGTGTGTGTGTGTGTGTGTGTGGGTGGGCGTGTCGCTTCGCCTCACCCTCCACAATTACGGCGTGCGGAAGCGTCCGTTTCTACGTCAGATCCGTCAGTTTGGCGAATAAGCACTCGTGTGACTGCGCGACCACTTAGTAGCGGGAGCAACAACAACTCAACAGCTGGCTTCTTGTCGAGCGTTGAGTGCGTTGTGTGATCATCACTAATCGTATATCTCTTCCCCTCCGCATGCGGCAACGTTTCGTGATGGGCCTACTTTTGTCGTTGATCCTTGAAGCAACGCCTGGAATTTTTCGGTCTCATGTATCGACACCGTTGACAGTTGGGGTGTTATTTTCGCACCTCCTTGTCTACCTAGTTCCGAAATTAGCCCACGACCAAATGCTCCACTCAATTTTTCTCGGGAATTCGTAGTGTGCCTGCAGGTCTGCACACGTTGAAGGACTCTGTCTCAGGCACCCGTGAGGTTTCTGAGGGGGTATTGAATGCTACTGTAGCATTTACTGATTTGTGCAGATGGAAACTGCGTCGTGTCGAGTTGATTCTCATCCACAGATGGTTGAGTCTTGCAGTCTGTGCACCAGGTAGAATTTCGTGCTCTACAAATGCGCCCCACGCTCAGTAGGTGCCTCGCGTTGCCTCACAATTTTATTTCACTGACTGTAGGCGCACAAGGTCTGACCGTTGAGCTGTTTTGGGGTGTTTTACTGAAAGAGCAAAAGGGAAGCGCGGTGTTTGGGCCTTACAGTCGCAAATCCGTTCTCCGAGAACTGTTTCCAAGTCGTTTTTAGTTATGCGTACGCAGTTAGCCCGGTGGATACGCAGCGATTACACCTGGATTAGGGCGTGTTTCGAGCTCTTTTTCAAGTCACTCGTGGGCGTATTTCGGACAATGCAACCCACACCTACGTCTCGCCTATTCGTGTGTGTGTGCGAATCACCAAGACCTGGATGCTGCAGCGCATTAGTCGGTTGCCAAGATGCTCAGTTTTCATTGGTTGATTCCTGCCCTGGTAAATCGGTAGTCACTCAATGCCTTCAATAACGGTCGTAATGAGGCGAGCGTCCGTTGGGTGGGCTTCAATGCACAATTTTACGAAAGCTGTTGGGTCTACACCCGCCTTGATATGCGGTAGCGTTTTAGCGTTTTTCCTCGCTTTCAAAGATTAGCAGGTTATCGGGAGTCCTAGTTGGCCAGTTCTGGTTTACTTTAATGCAGTTTGCTGTTATAATGCATTTCATTGTATCAGGACCAGTAAAAGTGGTTCGAGGCAACGGTGGGAGTGAATTTGAACTTTTCTCACTCGAGGGCGGATTTCCGTTTTTCTCATTGGTTTACGATGCCCTTCCATGTCTAAGTTTGATTGGTTGGTAGGGTCGGAGCCATTAATATTGCCATTGACCTCCTTACTACCTTTCACTGCGCTACAGTGGCTGTACCAGGAGATATTCTCCATCCGACCGGACAACGGATCGGCAAGGAGTGGCAACAACGGCCAGCAGAAGTTCAACCTCGTGGCAGGCGGCAGTGGCGGACGCAAGGACATGTCCTTTCTGTCCGAATATCGCGCCGACATCCTCACGGACATGCTGGTAAGTTGGGACTGCCTAAACTCCCCTCACCTCGATACGAACTTCTGTTTACTTTGAGCAGAATGTACTCTCCATTGACGAAACGTGTGTCCTAGCAGCTCGTAGGTTGAGTCTGAAGTAACCAGGCCGTACACGTGGAATCAAATCTCAATAATACTTGGCAAATTTGCCGCTGTTGGCATTGTCGCATCGTTTTTGCCTGTTGTAAGTTCGTTAAAGAGGATTAGTAGGATCAGATACGGGGTTTCACTTGCCTAGTAGGCGCCGTAAGTCTGCGTTTTCTCTGGGTATGTGGCATCT